CCCCACCCCATTTTAATCACACGACTAAAGGATGACAATGTTGTGGTCATGACAATGCTGCGATCGATGACAATGTTGTGATCGATGACAATGTTGCGATGCTGAAGTCCCCGATGTCCCCGATGATGCTGAAGTCCCCGGAGAACCCCCGTCCAGAACCACAACTGTTATTTACGCGTTGACAGAGGGTCGCTGCTTGACTCTGCGGTTGCTTGCGCCGTCTGACTTCTCAGGCCGGAGGAGCAACTGGACCCTGAAGGTGTCCTCTAGGAACTGAACGACAAGAAAGAACAGACTCACACTCAGAAAGAACTCATAGGTGCCATTCGCCAATCATCAGGCGGTGTGGGTACAATTGGTCATGCCCATTCCGTGCGGAAATTCTTATTCTTATGTTAAGGCCAGCTTGAACAAATCAAATAATCAAATGGTTCTTGCTCTAAACTCACAAAATATGAAGAAGCTTGAAAGCTTGAACTTCAGCACCCCAAGACGCTTTCTCATCATGGCAGCAGAAAATATGCGGGCCAGGTGGCGGGTGTCGCTGCCCCGGGTCGTGTCTCCAACTCGCTCTGCACAGCCTCTTCCTCCACGGAGGGGAGGTGGAATTGGGGTCAAATCCTGCTTCAGGAAGGGGCTGGTTCCATCAACAAGGGAACCTTGAGCCACCCCTTTCACCAACTGTTGTCCTCAGCCCCACTCGGAGATACTCACTTAGACTTAAACCCTCCCCTAACATGTTACTAAATTTGGGTCACCATGCCCAAGCAGGGATGGAAAACATGTCCCGACCCACCACCCAATCTGACGCCAAGGAGCAAATACTTCTGCCCCTGATCTGTTCACCAAGAGCACTGATTCTGCTTTATGGGCGGCTGAATAGCTGGCGGCTCCCACAGGCACCTCCCCAAAGCCATGAGGTATGGAGACCCCAACTTCTAAACTTAAACTCAGTAAGCGGTTAAAGATTGCTAAAAAGGACCCCCAGGTTCCTGAGAAATAAGGTAACCAACTCCTTTAAGTCTACAATGAATGCAACAGTCGGGCTGCTGGAAAATGACGCGGGCATCGGTATATGCCACTCATTCCAATGTCAGGCTGAACTAGCTGCTGTGCCTGTGATTTGGTTTTGCAGCGAACAGTCTGCCATGATGACACGAGAAAGTGCAGCTTTTTCAACATCCTGGAATGCCGTTATGTGTATTGGAATTTGGTGGGGGTGACCTTCGTCTTGAAAATAACAACCCCAGTGCACACGTGTGCAACTCTGCAAGTTCTTCCTTGCATGGATGTCTAGAAAGCAAGAATGAGAGAGCCCTAGGGCTTAGAGGCACCTGGGGTCTCTGGTTAAAAGCCAAGTAGCTGGCATCATTCCGCCATCATGCTTGCTCTCAGTTTGACTTGCCAGCTCAGTTCGGAGTGCAGCCTCCGTCACCAGCTCCTGTCTCCAAAAGCCGGCTCAGAGTCCAGAGAATTCGGTCTGGCCACTCAATACAAAAGTAGTTCCAGTTGATTAAACGTGATCAAACAAACGCACGTCCGAATTTGTATAACAGTAACATGGGCGGCAACGCTGTGACGGACCTGAGTAGATTGACGTGTGGGGAAGCCAACAACCAATAGGAGCATGGTCATTTGTTGCTCCTTCGTTGTATTGTGAGGAGAATGTGTTAGAACATGCGTAAAACTCATTCCTGAAGCCTGTGGCAGTGCACTTCCAAGCACTGAGGATAATTATTTATCCCAAAAATGCTGAAGAGTTCACCCTCAGGGCCTCTCCTTCTGAACAAAAGTTGCTAAAATGTGTGGCTTTACCGCACCGCAACTCATGGCCCGCTCCTCTTGCACGACGGTCCCAGCAACAATGACCTTGGCCTTTCGGCATGCATCAATCCTCTCCACCTTGGCTGAGCTGGGAAAGGTTGGGGCGCGCGACGAGGAGCAACCCTTAAACTGAGGTGCCTGCTAAACTGAAGAATTGGTAGGCATGTTTGCAAGAAAGGGTTTGGGCCGAAGACGCGAGCAGTGATGCAAAGAACTAATTACAACTAATCTGTAGGCAAAAGGGAAACCAAAAATACCAGTATGGGATCTGGGACAAATTTTTCAAAACCTTTGCCTGTGATGGAAACTCTGTACAATCTCCGGGCGCCATGGCACTGTCGGCACGGCATTGCTGCAGTTGCCGACCGTGGGCTGGTGGACAGTAGCTTGGCTCGGAGTCGGAACTTCCATGCTTTTTCGCTCCTTATCCTGGCCTCAGAAGTGCTTGTCGGTTTACCGAAATTGAGACAATGAAATAAAACGAAGAGTTTTCCTCTTTTGACTGGTCCGTTTTATGCTCCTCAGAGATGGGAGGAACCAATAACACGTGCATTGGCATTGGCAAGATGAAGGATACTTAACATATAATAGATCTGATCCATGCCGCGAAACATCTGGGAAATGATTGCTGCCTCTACTCTAGTGGTCCCTTGGACCGCTTGAATCCAGCTCTCGATCTGATGGTTTTTTTTATGCCCCACCTGAAGGTCCCACCGGCTGCTTTGGCTGCGCTGGCTTTGGACTCTCATCAGCAGGTGCAACTGGCGGCTCGACCTGTTTCTCTGGCCGCTCCCGTGGCCGCTCAGCTGGCTGCTGTGGCACCTCTGCCAGGCCGGGTGCATTCGCCTCCTGTGCTGCCTCTGGCTCCTGTGCCGAGTAGATGAGCACACTTGAGACCTCAACACCGAGGTGTGGCCGCATGGGGGGAGCGATCGGACGCTACTAGGGGCTCCTGGCCTTACTACTAGGAACAAGAAGCTACTAGTAGCAAAGGGCATCGCCACTAGAAACAAGAACGCTACTAGGTTACTAGGGGCTCCTGGAGGCCATCGCTAGAAGGCTGGAGGCCATCGCTAGTTTTGCTTTGAAGAAAATCTGGGGCGGCACCGAAGAAGCAAAAAGCAAAAGGATACAAAAAGAATGCTTTGCCCATGGTGTCCAAAAACCAAACCAGTTTTTTCCTGGTATTGGATCCAATTTCAGGTGGCTTAATCCGCAAAGCTGGCTAATTATCTCTGACCGCTTGCGAAGTCCGCAGTGTACCGTACACGGCTGTGCAGTGTAGCGCGTACACTCTTCCAGGTCCGTCAGGGGACTAAACAAAAGTGAGTGGTCGAGACAGATCCTGTCTAGACCCCACCATCCTGCGTTTCGTAAAGTTCTCCACCAGCATGCGGGCCCGGGTAGCCAGCGCTTCTGGGAGACTGAGCAGGATCGCCCCCGCACCGAGGTGCAAACCAATCTCGGGCTTTCAGAAATCAGCACGACGAAAAACAGCCAAATCCAAGGTCGCCAAAACCTCGTCAAAAACGTGGGAGAC